AGCTAATCCAGCCCGGCCGGCGCGCCGGGCACCTGATGTGCGCTCTGCCCCCAGCGGATCTCGGGCAGAGCGCGCACAGGTTGGGCCTGCAGTCGGCCCTTCTTCAAACGTGGTGAGTAGGCCGCAGGCCACTGGGGATTTCAGGCGGGGGTTGGGGGGTTCGGGGGGTCGGGGCCCAGTGCCAGGCCCGTCTTTCACTTCACACAGCCCCCCCCCCTTCTCCTCCTCCCCTCTCTGTCTCCCCTGGGCTTGCCTCTCCTGCACTCCCACCACCCTCATCCGCCCATCCTACCCCCTTGCATCCTATTACCTAGGGCCCATGCTGCCCCCTCTGGGGCTACTTCAGTCATGGCTGTCCCACTCTCTGGTTCCCCTGTCCCACTCTCTGGTTCCCCTGTCCCATCTACTAATATTCCAGGGTTGCTCCCCCCTACTGTGCGTCCTCCAGCACCTGGGATGGGTGGGCAGGGTTTTTTCTCACCTGTCCTGTCTTCACAGATTCTTCCAGGTCAGCTCGCGAACCGGTTCCCTGACGCTGTGTCTGGTGCGGTGCTTCCTGCGGTCGCAGTTCCCTCGGGGCCGTCGCAGGCTGGTGCGCAAGTCGCGGTTCCGTTGCTACCCTCGAATTCGGCTCCTGCCGGTGAGTATTCTGCTTTCGCAGGATTAGATCCCGGGGGCGCTGGCGCACGCGAGTCGCAAGAGTGGGGTTCGGTGCTCCAAGCTATAAAGAATGTTCTTGTAACTCTGGAGCGGGGATCTGGGCTAGTTCCACAGGACGTGATTTTGCGGGGGTTGCAGCGTCGGTACCCGACACTTCTACACAGGTCACCACCCCCCTGGCTTCGGCGCCACCGCTAGTGACATCTGAGCCCTCTGTGAGTGCTACGGGGGATACCGCGGTTGTCTCGGGTTTAGGGGTAGCACCCGCTGCGCATGGGGCAGCGTACATGTGCTGGTCAGGCCCCCTGGGCTTCCACCTGACGCCTGATTTGAGGGCTAAAATAGAAAAAGGGGAATTTGTAGAAATTTTTTCCCTCCTCCCTTTGGAAGATCTTCCTCGGGTGGATACGGATGCTAAAGAGTCTGAAAAAGACAAAGAGAAGTTTCGGTATCGGAAGATTCCGAAAACTTTTGGTAACTGGATTAGGGCCTTTTCTATCCTGGCTAGCGTGATAGGTGAAAAGACTCCCAGTAAATGCTCTTCCCTGTTTTGCTACCAGGATATGATATGGAACGCTTGTCGGGTTTATGGCGGGCTAGGGTGGTGGCGGTATGATGAACAGTTCCGCCAACGTTTGGCGGTTCGCCAGTCCACGAGTTGGGATCAAATGGACATCGGCTTGTGGTTGGCCATCATGACCCGCCCAGCTTCGCATCAAGGGGGCCTTTCGTCCTTTCTTGGGGGGGCCGGCGCTGGGTCCTCATCTTCAGCGTCGGCCACTCAGCGGAAGACTGGGTACTGTTGGCAATATAATGATGGCCAATGTAAGTTCGGTTCAGCCTGCCGCTTCAAGCATGAATGTTCCGGGTGCGGCGGTTCCCACCCAGCATCAAAATGCTTTAAACGAGGCAAGACCGGCGACAAAGGAGATGCCATGGGCGCTAAGGGAGAGGACGCCAGTGGACGTAGACGCGATGCGCCCTTGGCTAAAGCGTTATAGCAATAAGAAGGCGGCTGCCTTGTTATTGGAGGTTTTTGGGCAAGGGTTTTGGATCCCTCACCGGGCCCGGCAGGTCTCCGGCTTCTGCCGGAACCTGAGATCAGTTGCCGATCACCCGGGGGTGGTAAGGGAAAAATTGGCTAAGGAAGTAGCGTTGGGTCGCATGGCGGGCCCCTTTCGGGAACCTCCACTCCCCAACTTGAGGGTTTTACCACTAGGTGTGGTGCTAAAAAGGGAACCAGGCAAGTTTAGGCTGATTCACCATTTATCGCACCCACAAGGGGGCTCGGTGAATGATGACATTGCCACTGAATTGTGCCGCGTTTCCTACACGTCCTTTGACGCGGCGGTGGATATGGTCAGGGCTGCTGGCCCCGGGGCACTTATGGCGAAAACTGACATTGAGTCGGCTTTTCGCCTCCTACCGGTTCACCCGGAGTGCCACCACCTCCTGGGTTGTATATTCGAAGGTCATTATTACGTGGATATGTGCCTCCCGATGGGTTGTGCAATATCCTGTTTTTATTTCGAATGTTTTAGTTCCTTCATGGAATGGGTAGTTAGAGCGGAATCCGGTTACAATTCCTTGCTTCACTACCTAGACGACTTTTTATGTGTTGGCCCTGCGCGCTCCCCGACATGCGCGCAACTCCTGCAAGCAGTGGCGGATGTTGCTTGCGAGTTCGGGGTGCCGCTGGCACCAGACAAAACAATTGGCCCTTCTACGTGCCTGTGCTTTCTCGGGATCGAGATTGATTCTGTTGTTGGTGAATGTCGGCTTCCATTGGATAAATTGTCTGATCTTCGGGAGGTGGTGCGAGTGGCGAGCGCTTTGCGGAAGATTACGTTGCAACGACTTCAATCCCTATTGGGCAAATTGAACTTTGCCTGTCGGATTATGCCGATGGGCAGAGTGTTCAACCGCCGCCTGGCGGCTGCTACGGCTGGGATTTTGAGGCCGTCTCACTTCGTCCGCTTGACCAAGGCGCTCAGGGAGGACTTGGCAGTATGGGCAGTCTTTTTGGATGGGTACAACGGCAGGTCCTACTGGCAGCAGCCCGAGGTGACGAACTCGGTGCTGCACCTGTTTATGGATGCCGCGGGGTCTTCGGGCTTTGGGGCTATTATGGGAAGGCAATGGTGTGCGGAGCCTTGGCCCGATTCGTGGTTCACCTCTGGCCTGACCAAGAACATGGCTTTCTTGGAACTCTTCCCCATTGTGGTGGCTATCCATCTTTGGGGGCCAGAGATCAAGAACAGGCGTGTTGTGTTCCACTGTGACAACCTGGGCATTGTCCAGGCCATTAATAGGTTAACGGCCTCCTCCCCTCCGGTGGTTCGGCTCTTGCGGCGCTTGGTTTTACAATACCTGTCTTTTAACGTGACTTGCCGCGCTGTGCATATCCCTGGTGTGGAGAATACCACGGCTGATGCTCTTTCTCGTTTCCACTGGCAGGTGTTTCGTTTGGCCGCGCCGGAAGCAGATACGGAAGGCCTCCCCTGTCCCAGAGAGTTATGGTCCCTTGGCCTGAGCGGATAAGGGAATGGATTCGGTCTTCGGTGTCTGAGGCAACTTGGGTTCGGTACGGTAAGGCATGGGGGGACTGGGTCGCTTTAGAACAGGACCTAGGTGGGTTCGCTTCGACTTCGGCAAGGGTTCAAGGGATGTTACGGTTGCTCAGGTTCTGGGAGGCTAGCGGGTGTTCTCCGGCTACGGTCTCAGGGAAGCTATCGGGTCTTAGTTTCTGGTTCTTGACTAAGGTGCCTGACGTTACCAAGGACTGCATGGTTCGGCTTGCGATGCGCGGCTGGCGTAAGGGCCCACACCTGCGGGATTCTCGGAGGCCGGTTTCTGGCGCTCTGCTAGTAGGTATTGCGTCGGTCTTACCCAGGGTTTGTTTTTCCAATTTGGAGGCACGTTTGTTTGGCGCTCTTCGAATCGGTGAGCTTGTGAGCCCTAGCAAACGGATCCCAGGGGGCTTGTTGTTCAACGATGTGTCTGTTGTGTCGGATTCAGTGCGTTTTTTGGTGCGGAGGTCCAAAACCGACATCTTCGGCAAGGGGGCATGGGTTACCCTCCGCGCCATTCCGGGTTCGGCTGTCTGCCCTGTCGCATCCTTTCAGTCTTATTGTCTTGGTCGCCCAGACGTTGAGGGCCCTCTATTAATTCATGGGGATGGCTCCTTCCATTTTCGGTTCCAATTTCTCCGGGTCTTTCGGTTGGCACTCGACCAACTGGGTATTTCGAGTGCAGACTTTGGGGGACATTCTTTTCAGATTGGGGCCGCAACTGAAGCCTCCCATTTAGGTTTTTCGGACCAGGCCATTCAGAGGATTGGCAGATGGGAATCGGGGAGGTTTCGGTCCTATGTACGGCCCACACGTCTGATCGGTTTCCCCCTTGTGTTTTCTCCACAGGGCCTGGCCGACGGATCTGGCTGATCGGTCATTCTTACATCTACTGGGCTCACCTGCGGGCAGGGGTACGCCCGGGTGGGACACGGCTCGGAATACCTCGGGAGCTGGCGGAGGTCCGGTAGTTCGGGTTCCGGGGCATGAGATGGGGTCAGCTATTGCCGGAGGTCGTGCAGTTATCCACTTTATTAGGAGCCCCGGATGTTTTGGTGGTGCATCTGGGGGGAAACGATCTGGGGTCGCTGCCTGCGTGGGGGCTGGGGGAACTAATCAGGCGAGATTTGGTGCGCTTGCGTGTGCTTTTTCCACAACTTTGCTTAATATGGTCGGATATCGTTTCCAGGAATTATTGGAAGTGCGCACGCGATCAGGGTGCTATTGAGCGCTGCAGGGTGAAGATTAATAAGTGGGTTTCTAAATTTGTTCTCGGCGTCGGGGGCTTAACAGTGCGACACCGTATTTTTGAGCGCGAGGCAGCAATCTATTTTCGCCCGGACAGGGTCCATCTAACTGACGTAGGCTTGGACTTATTTAATTTAGCGCTACAGGATGCGTTGGAGCAGGCCATGGCGTTGCTTGGGGGTCGCGCCCGCTGATTTAGGCGTAAATGCAGCTGGGGGCTAGTGGCGGGTATGGTCCTTGCCGAACCTATTGGGAAGAGGAGTACGGGAAAAGAAAGATGCTGGGTCGGGTCCCTCCCCTGACCTCGGAAAATGTTTGGGTATTTGGGCGTGCCCTCCGTGCCAGGAAAGGTGGCCAGGGGTTGGCATGTGGAGTTGGAAGGCCAAAGTGAAGGCCAGGTATCTTGGACGAGGGGGGAGGGCCGATGCCTTGGTGGGGGGGTGTACCCTAGAGGTTCGGTGGTACGGTTGGCAAGGACTAGTTTGAATCTAAGCATACTTACACCTGAAGTTATTTATGGTTGGTTTATTTACATTTGTTCGTTAATTTATAAATAAAGCTGTGGCCTTTTTTATACCACATATACGTTTCCTAGTTTGATTGGGGGGAATTGAATGGATTTTGGGGATTGGTATGGTTCACAACACACGATAACCGCTACCTACACACATGTCTCACCTCCTCTCATCCAGCATCCAGTCAATGCTAAAATGTGTGAAAAACTGGCAGAGAGGATTCTGGGTACACAGATGCTGGCACTGTAAAGCATCGGGGGCCATCATATATCCAACTAGAGTACCGGTAAACATGGAATCCTTCAGGAGAAGCATTGAGCAGTCCACGTAAGCTGAGAAAGAAGAGATGAGGGAGAATTACCCCATTTACATCATTCATTCATTCATGCAGTTTCACATTACATTCAGTCCTAGTGTCATAATGCGCCAGGTCATAGTCTATCAATGCTCTCAGTGCTCGCAGTGCACGCGGCCCACATCTCTCAATGCTCGCAGTCCACATCTCTCAATGCTTGTAGTCATAGTCTTACAATGCACTCAGTCATAGTCCATCAATGCTCATAGTCCTTTTCTTACAGTGCATCCAGTCA